AGACTCTGACAGAGATCAACTTAGGTTGCTACAAAGCTCTGAGGAGATGGAGCTGAACAGGAGATGGAAGGCTGGCAGAGAGCAGAGGGAGAGGCTTAAGGGAGAAGTCTTGATCTCCAGTGACTGGGGAAAGGTAGGAGGTGTGGGCTTATGCCTTAGGGAGCTCAGTGAGGGCGGACAGAGAAGAGCCATAGTAGGCAGGGCAGGCTCCAAGTCTCCAGCGCTGAGAATGAGGGCCATTCTAGACTAAGTCAGTCACAAGGGAGTCCTGGCAACTTGCTTTCCAAAGGGAAGGAGCAGAGCTGAAGTTAGTAAAAAATCATGAGATGGGAAATTGTTACACATTAAAAATATAGACTGGATGCTAATTATATCTCACTGAACAAAATAAGCAGATGGTTTATTTTACATGGAAAATGCTAGAGAGGAAGTAACAGAGGCAATCTCCACACTCATTGTTGGTGGTAGTGAAGTCAGTACAGTTTTTCTAGAGAAACATTTGAATATATGTATCAAGAGCTTATCTTTTGTTATCTTTTGTCCAGTTCCTGGAATTCATACAAAAGATACATTTGTGGTCTTGTACCACAATGTTAATTATCACAGAAGAAAGAAACTGGAGACCTGATTTTCTGTTACAGACCATATAAAGACAGAATTATTCATGGAATGGAAGGTGGTAATACCATGGAGTTTCAGAACAACATTTGATGACATGACAACTGCACACCATACTTAGAAATTTTCCTTTTTAATAAATTTTTAAATAACCGTTGGTTCTTGCTATTATAAGATTTACCTTAATTCACATGTTATGAAGGAAGTTTTTAACTAGTCACTGGTAGTGTATGCATAGATAAATACATACTTGTGCATGTATACACACACAACCATTTCTAGTAAAAAATATTCCATGTATGTATAATTAATATCAAATGTACTGACATCAAATCAAACTTGTATAATATCTAATTTCCTTCTGTTAAATTACGTATTATGCTGTAACGGATGCTGCCAGCCAGTTGCAGAACAGAAATGTGACTATGCTGCCTCTACGTGGCCAAATGTGGAATATGTGCATTTAATAAGAATTCAAAATCACGAAGTCTCAGATGCAGCAGAAAAAAATAACAAGAAAAAAACCAGACACAAAACAAAGCATGACAATATGTTTCTAAAAGATTAAAGTAAGGTGACTAAGGACTCAGGACTAAGATTAAGTCAGCCTAACTCCAAAGCCCATCATACCTCAACTCAATGTAGTGATTTCCAATCATAAAACTATGCCTCCTCATTCAAAGTGAAAACAGCACAGGGGAACACACATTGTGCAAAGGAGTCTGTGAAGAGTGGCATTTGATGCACAACTCTGCCTGGTGTTGTCTGACTGGCTACAGAGTATTCCATTGTCCACATGGTAAAATTGTGAGCATTCTAGAATACCTGCTCTTTCTAATACACAGGCTTGGGCGAGGTGATTCTGGGTGGAAGAGCTGCTGGGTTTTCTGAGACAGGCACAACTGTGTGGTGCTAGAAGCCTGCCTTCTAGTAAGTCATTCCATAGCTGCTGTGGTTTCCTGCACTTGCCAGGGGCCCAAGGACCAAGGGCATATTCCCTAAGGCAGCCTTCACCACGTACTCTCAAACAAGTCTGCACTTTCATAAGGAGTATGAGAAGGGAGATGAAAGATAGCCAGTGTCTCCCAACTGACTGACTTACAAAGGAAAATCTATCTTAAGATTTCGCATGCTCCTGAGAGATGTGCCCAGCTCCTGCCATGGGGGATTGTATGGAAGAGAATCAGGATCTACGGATTTACTGACAATCAAAGGTTCTACCTAGAAAAGAAAATGTGTCTGGAGGCTGCACAGGTGCACAGGGGGACAATCAGCTCTCCAGACCCTAGCTGGGTAAATCCCATCTCGGTGGTTCACGCCTCCTTAGCTCTCCAGCCGTGCCAAGGAAGGCCTGGCTTGGCTGATGCGCCCTCAGAGGTGATCCGGCCACCAGCCCAACATGTGAAGCATAACTAGGTAGGGTTCTGTGAAACGGATTATTCTGCTGAAAGACTGCCCTCAAATTAATGGTTACCTACCGAAGGCCTCTGGCTTACTGGGGCTTGACTCTATGATGGTGTGAAAGCAATACTCAGTAGAAATCTGACCTCAAATTGTGAAATTTGAGCTTTCCTTGGGCTAAAAAAATGTGATGCCATCCTCTGTCAGGGTGTTGGGCTGTGAGAGTGAGCTGAGCTCCCCATCAGTCCTGTGGTATTGATGGGGAAACAACCATGCTCTATGATGAGTGGTGCTGCAGAGTGAGGCTATGCATGGGGAGGTATATTCAGTGCAGTATTGACGTCCAGTATTCTCAACTTAGGATGGGCTTATTGGAATTGTTCCCCTTTGGGAGGGCAAGATGGGAGATGCCTGTGCCTTTATCCTGAGCATCTCTTCAGATCCCTATGGGGCAACCCATTGGTGGTAAAGAGTTCTTCATTAGCTTCAGGTTAATACCTCAGGCTCTTTGCTAGATATCTTGGGAGCAGACAGAATCACTTAGGAAACAATTTCATCTTGCTCAATTGTGTGCATCCTTGAAAACTACTTTAAAGGACTCCTGAAGAATGGTAAATATTTTTCATAAAGCAAATCCTGTCTATGTATGATATATTACTTCCATGGAGTTACTATACTTTTTCAAGACTTCTAGATGTCTGTCTTATGTTAAAAGGGTATGACATGAACTCCAGTTAGTTCTATATTTTCATGTTTCACCTTTATAATTAGGTCTAAAGCCTGAAAAAAATCAGAGGTATAATTGTATTAAAAAACAAAATGATTCATTCTTCTATTTCTTCTAATGTTTGGTCTTACAAGCAATATCACAGTAGATACCTTTGTGTGTGAAACTTAGTCTATGTTCCTAATAATTTTCTTAAAATGAATGCAACAAGGGAATTAATTAGTGGATCAAAGTGTGATATTTGTTTCACAAGGGTTGAAAGGAGTGGCCCAGGGCTGAACAGAAAAACTGTGCCACCAAAACACTCTCTGATGGGGCAGGGACATTAGAATACAGCTCACTGTGTAATTTGTACTGATTTTCACCAGTAAGTTGTGTCGCCATTTCATCATCTTTGTTAAAATGATAGATAAAAATGTGATTGTCTTATAGCTATAGCTGTATGACATTAACATTTGTAGCACTTTGAAATGGAACCATTTGCACTCTGAAAATATTGTATATGACTGAAAAAGAACACTTGTTATCAACTTTGCAACTCATTAGCAAACTCCCTCTGTATAAACAGCCACTAACTGCTCTGGATCTCACCGGCTTCCTTCTGGGCAGGGCCCTGTAAGGAGGGAAACCCATTCTCTGTCTGCCCGGGCTGCATCCCTCCAGTTCTCAAACGTGGTAGATTCCACAAGGATGTGGCTCAGACCCAGCTCAGGTTCCTGTTGCTCCTCACTGGCTATGTGGTTCTGGGCTGATTACCAAGCATTTCTGAGCCTGGCTCACCACGAGTATAAGTGGTTATAGTGGCATCTGGCTGGCAGAGCTGTCTGAGGATTGCCCGGGTCTATGTGTAGCAATCTACCTGCTACACAGTGCTCAAGAAGAGGTCCCTCTCTGACCACTTCTAACTCCCTCACTAACTCACTGCCCGTTTTTGAAAACAGTGCACCTGACAGTAGCATCTGGTTGTCTTCTAGGCTGTCTTCTGGAGCTGCATGTTGGCTAATATATCTCTTAGGCTTTGGACTTATCCACAGAAGCTCAGTGATGAGGACCAAGGACAAGAACCTGGTGGCAATGGGGTATTTTTATTTCCTGAACAGAGCACAGTTACCCCCACAATAGCCACATCCAATCATTCACCCCTACCCTGTGAGGATGCCCTAGCACTCTCCAAGGCCTGAGACTCTGTTTCCATACCTACCTTCCGCTTATCCAGCTGATGTTGCCTTGGTTTCTTTCTACACCCTTCCCTTTCTAATGGAGGATGGCTAAGGACTTACTCCCAACCCTCGAGATATGACATATGCATGCTACTGACATACACATACTACTGCAATATATCTGTCTGCTTTGAAAAGTCACTGTCGAAGGACACTGATGTTCACAACCCATTGACATGTCTACGAACCCATGTCTTTGTCTATGTTTAATTTCAGTGTAAGGAAAAAGCAAAGTATGAGGAACCGAAGGAAATGACAAGGTCTGTGTCACAGGCTCACTCAGCAGATCTCCTTATTGGATTTTCCCAAGCAAAGTCACACTGTTGTCAAATGGGGTTGAAAAAGCGGTGTCAAAGTACTTCTCAGAACATAGGTTAGGGAACAGCCTCTCAGGATGACTGTCAATATTATTTTCTGCTATGATTACTTCTTTAATAAAGTGTATTGTGAAAAACTCTATGAAGACAGAGAAATCCCAAAAATACCTACACAAGTGGGTATGCTTAATTTTAAAATATGTTCTGAAATCTACCTAGGCCCACCATGAAACTTGGAAAAGCTGTAAAGGATTCTTTCTCATCGGTCAATTTATTGATTTACTCAAGGACAATAAATAATTCAGGACACAAAAAAATGAGTAATGATCATTTTAAATTAGAAAAGACTAAACTTTAGCTACTGCTTTGCAATGTTATCCAAACCCATGAGAAAAGGGCTTTTAAAGTTTCAAAAGGTCACAACCCAAGAGGAGACTCCTCAGACACTTGAATAAAATTTTTGTCAGACAGATTTTTTTCTATCTTACATTATCTGGGTCACTGTTCCAAAGATGCTTTTGAGCCTGAGCCAAATCAGCAAGAGTAAGAAAGGCTATAGACTTAGCAGCAGCCTAGGGAAAGAATGCCCACGAGCAAATACACACAGCGCCGTCCTCAAAGTCATTCTCAGAAACGCGGGTGGCAGGGCACACCTGTCCCGCTTCTGAGCGCACGCTGCACCCCGGGGCAGCCCCACCCGCGTGCCGGCCCGCTCACCGCATCGTGTAGAGCAGCGTGCCGTCGTCCTCCAGGCGCAGCAGCTTGTTGGGCGTGGTCATGTTGTGCGCAATGGACTTCTTCCCGTTGTGGAAGAACGTGTCTGGGGTCCAGATTTTGCTGGCAAGAAGATTGTTGAGTGGGAGGCGCTGCATGGGCCCTTTAAACCGAAGCCTTTCATCTTTCCAGCTTTGTCGGAAAAACACATCTATGGTATATTCCTAAGGCAAAGAAAGGCAGCAGGTGAGATCGGTGTGGAAGAGGCCCTTGGCGGTGTATATTTAGAAGGATCTGTGGGGGCTCCGCCTAGACCTACCATTTCCGTGTCGGACACCGGGCCGAAGCTGGTGACATAGATGTCAGTCCTCACCTGGGTGATCCGCTCTGAAAAACACACACACACACACGTACACACATACAGGTTACTCAGCGCGCACGACTCTGAGTGCGCCTCCGGCACATGGTGTCGATGTTCTCAGTCTAGTAACCAATCTCAGTCTTTGCCAATTGGGAGCTTTCATATCGTGTATTTGGCACATACGGAGGACTTACAGATGCCAAATGAAACCAAGTTGCCAGGAACTCTAACATGAAATAAAATCAGATGCAGGAAAAAAACCAAAAAAGTAAAAGAGGTGGTTTGGCTCTCTCTGTGCTTCTGCCCCACGGGGAGGAGTTGAACAGCCAGAAGCTGAGTTTTGGCCAAGGGGCCTTGGGTGGTGTCACAAATACCTGAGCTTCAGTTTTGTCCTCTGTAAGCCTGGAGCAATGATGCCAGCTGCACCCTCCCCTCCCCTTGCGTAACTCTGCCCTCCCAAAGAATCCCAGTGAATGCTGGCTTCACCAACAGCTGGGCAGGGATCTCCAAACCTGGAGGCAATGGGGGGACTCCGGGAGAGAATGAGGGAGCAAGTGCCCACATTGCCTCGTGAGATGGTGATGGATTGAGAAGGAACACTCACTTCTTCTAGGGCATTTGAACTGTTAGCAGTTCTTATCTTGGGAGACTACTATTTCAGTGAAAATATATGAAGTGATAAAAATGACCAATCATTGCAGGGATATTTGTTTTTTGGCCACCACATGGGCTCTGTAACCTTCTGTGGTCATGAGCAGGAACCACATTCAGAGTGCACTACAGTCTACATTAAATGATCCCAGACAGATGGATGCTATCTATCATCATTGACTCAGATCACCCCTGGTTTTTCTCTTCCAGCACCTCAATGCACAGTGATCATCTGTGTGTGCCTTGTGTGCATCTGCATGTGCACAGGTGTTTGTGTGAGGCTGGGTGTGTTTGGTGACTGCCCCCCCAGCAGCACGCCCACTTGGCTGTCTGTTGTATCTTCCCTCTTTGCAAAGCAGCGTGAATGAGAGAATACAGCAGGAACTGCAAGGGCAATGTAGTGGATCGCTAGATGGTTTGACCCTTTGGGTGTGTTCAAAGGCACTGCTCTGCTGGATGCACAGGCCTGGGGACATAACTCAGAGGGCAAAGCTAGATGTTGCAGAGGAGCCTGTATAGACTTTTTGTGCCAGAGATGCATAAGATGGCAACTTGTGCTTCAAATGAATCTGTTAAAAATAGAAAGACTAGAGAGTTGTTAAACTTCCTCCCAGAATATACTCTCCAGAGAGTCTCTACTTCACCCAATGAAGCAAGTTCAAATGCACCACCTCTAAATAGGTGACAGCAACTGCACACCCTTCTCAGCACAAAACAACACTGTGGGGGCTGGCTCTGTGGCGTAGCAGGTAAAGCTGCTGCCTGCGATGCCAGCATTCCATATGGGTGCTGGTTCGAGTCCCAGCTGCTGCACTTGTGATCCAGCTGTCTGCTATGGCCCGAGAAAGCAGCAGAGGACGGCCCAGTCCTTGGGCCCCTACACCCATATGGGAGACCCAGAAGCAGCTCCTGGCTCCTGGCTTCTGATCGGCGCAGCTCTGGCCATTGCAGCCAGTTGGGGAGTGAACCAGTGTATGGAGACCTTTCTCTCTCTCTCTCTGCCTCTCCTTCTCTCTCTGTGTAACTCTGACTTTCAAATAAATAAATAAATCTTAAAAAAAAAAAACCCACTGTGCTAGTTGTGCCTTGGAAACCCAGTCTATCATCACATTCTTTTAACTGCTTTTCATCGAGCCTAAGCCTAGTAGTCCCCCCTTATATGTGGCTGCACTTTCAGTAGTTTTAGTTGCTCATAGTTTGTGTGTAGTGAACTTCAGTCCCAAAATATTACATAGAAAAGTCCAGAAATAAAAACTCATACATCTTAAATCACCTTTGTTATAGTAAATTGTTATAATTATTTTATACTGTTGTTGATCCCTTATTTGCCTACTTGGTAAATTAAACCTTATCATAACTATGTTTGTATAAGAAAAAATATAGTATATATAGGATTCAGTGCTATCTGTGGTTTCGGACATCTGTTGGGGGTCTTGGAATGCATCCCCTGTGGATAAGCAGAGACAACTGTGAATACTCTTAAGACTATAGCAAAATATTAAACTTGAACCCCGTATATATGTAAAGAACAATTGCATTGAATAGTGGATTTCCGAAAAGGACTTCCACAGCTTCAAGAGTATGAGGTTGATCTTACATTATTTAACATAAGAGAATCTCAGCTTTCATAACACCCCAAGGTAACCAGAATAGATGTTAAGAAGGGAGTTTGCATGGATACTGTAGGGAGACCACATGCCCCAGCTTCTCCTAACTGGAAATGATGAAAAAGATGCAAGATCCTTGGCAAGGGTGGAACAACTATTATCTGAACCTCCTGGCAGGGAAGCACTTTCAGGAATTGTTCACATTACAGCAAGCATGAGCTTGAAACTGGGGTTAAAGTTTCCTGAGTTCTTGGCAGCCACAGGAGAACACACTCACCTCCCAGCCCAGGCCGTAGTCTGTTGTCATAGCCATCCAAGAGCCCATCCAGAATTCTTGTAAATATCGTGATATTGTCATTGGTCTCATCTTTCACAGAACTGGTTGGCATTTGTGAAAAGCTTTTTAAAAGAAAAACAAATGGAAAAGTTACAGATTCTCTCATTTCTAAGAAATTCTTCTTAGGATATAAGAGCCAGGGAATCACATGGTGACTATTCTTGGAGGGAGGGCAATGAGAAGGTTTCTCTCAGACTGCCTGCATCATTTTGATTGATAAGCTTCAGTTCTTGAATACTGAGATTCTCTGCTCTTGATTGGCTGTCTGTTATCCTAAATCTATCATATCCAGCTTCTGAGGAGCCTTTGTCAACATTTTACCCATTAAAAAAAATTAGCACCTGCACATGGCATGGCAGAGCCTATTCCATTTGTAAGGGATTTCAGAAGTTTGCTTTAAACAGGAAGACTGAGTTTTATTGTTGTTAATGAGTCACTTGAAGTGGGTGCTGGGATTTGGAGTGGGAGCCTGAAAAACAGGCCAAGATGGAAGACAATTTTGACAAGCCCAAATCTTAGTACATCGTTGGTTAGATTGGGAGTGTTTGTGTTGTGAGTGATACATCAGGCTTACAGTGTGTGGTGAGAGAAATAATTGGTCTGTGACATCTCTTTGAAATCCAACACCATTTGGCATGGATAGCTAATGGCATGTTTTTTGTGACCTAACACATCTTATTCATAATAAAGACTCAGTAAAAGCAGACAGAACCTTCATGGAAGAACAAAAACATCCTTAGTTTATTCAACAGAATGAGTTATCCAGGCTCCAAAGTTTTAAGGAGATAGAGCAGATGGATACTAGAAACTGCACCGGGTAGATGTGGACAGACAGAGGAGGTTGTTTTGAGGGGAAGGAATCCCCAAGACAAGAAGGTAATGTCATGCCTGAAAAGCAAGAACCTCACTTCTGTTATACACTTGCTTTCAGAAGTATAAATGGCAAGTCATTATGGATGATTGGGCACTTTGACCAAAATTCTGACTTGGCTTCAAGGGTCCATGTTAGACTCACCAAGCAGAAGTCCAGCTTAGACTCCCAAGTCAGTGCTCTTGATACTTGGTACTTCCCTGAAGTGCCTGGCTATGGAGCCTCAGCTCTACTCAGAGCACTTGCTCTCCCATGAAAAGGCTGCAATCAGAGCCAAGAGCCACCATCCGGGGAGGGATACTGAGGTCAGAATTGCTGTGCACTCGCTCTATCCAATTCTTGAAATTTAGTCATTTTCATTGATTGCATCTAAGCAGATCAATTCTTTACTAGCTTTAAAGCTATTCCCTTTTGAAAAGCACAAAGTTCTTTTGATCTAATTTACAGATCAACATGAAAATGCACATATTTGAAGATCTAACAGTGCTCTTAGAACAGAACCAACAGACACATAAGGATTTTTACTCTGGAATTAAGTAATTAAAACTATAGCTATTAAATCCTTCCTTTCTCTAACATGTGTGGTAATTTCATATTTCAGAAAGATAAAACCCTAAACTTTGAATAACTAATAGAATGAAAAACCTTGAGGTCGTCTAGGTTTGTGGAAGACGTCATAATTTGTACTTGCCCAGTTGTGTAACTATTGGCCACACTAGACCTAACCTCATGATCTACTTCTCATATCATGTTGAGCACCCATTTTTAGGCTATATCCAGGTGCCCACTTCTTGGACGATCCTCTCTGTCTCTTTAACTTACAAATTGAGGTGACAGCATATACATTGGTCAAAAAAATATCATTCAGTGTTTCATGAAAAATTTTCTAAGCTGTTCCATTAACCAAGTGAAAACGTTCTTAAATTACATTGGCTCTGAGCAACCGTGGTCTGAGTAGACATGGATTTGCACACATTATTGACCATTTGGGAGACTGCACTGGCAGTGATGTTGCTATGGGCACTGCTTGCCATGGATACCCGTGACATTGGAGACACAGGCACTGCTGACCATTTCAAGGAAACACCAGCCCACTTGACTCTGAATCTCATTTTATGAATACCCAAGTCATTTCTGATAGTAATGGGATAAGACACAATGCTTAAGAATCCCACTGTTCAACTTCTACTTCTTGGCTAAAAGTAAACAAAAAGAATCATTTAAATATGTCAATGTATATTTGCACATAGTTATTCTCTTCTTGAAAAAAATTTTAATATGTGCCCTGTCCTGCCATAACTGTTCCCTTTGTCTTTGGTCTTTGGGTATTTTTATGATAGAGACAATAACTGGGGATTTGCTGCATATTCTTTGCTGTATTAGCTGCATATAGGAGCTATGAGGTAGCAAACAGATCCTAAACTATCCCCAAAAATATCTCTTGGGTTAAGAGCAGGTTTTTTCTCATGAACAACAGGGAAGCTCTCTTCAATCAATGAATCACCCTCAGAAATAACCCACTGCAAGGATGATATTGAACTACACCATTTTCACAACCCTTGAGAACAAGACTCTTGCTTTATCACAGAACATAAATACTGCACTTTTGTAGCCCCTGGCATAGTGCCCTCATATAAGAGAACCTCACAATGTCTGGAGAACCCTCTAATCCTTCTGCCAAACTGCAGAGTCTTTGAGGACTGTTTCTAAGACTAACTTCAGCTTGCTTTGTTCCACTTTGGCTCACTGAAAGCATTTGAAAAAGAAAATAATGTAGAAATACCTTCATGAGCAATGGTGTGCAGAGTGTGATCCATGATGGAAGCACAAGATGCCCTCATCTCTTTGAAGAGTCAGTGCTTCCATTCATGCTCAGAAGGCAGGCTCAGGCTCACTGCCGTTCCAGTTAAGCTTTTTCTAACCCTACTCAGCATAGCCAAGGAGCTCTACTGTGGGTCTTCTAGTGCCTCAAGGACAAATGAAATGCTCTGCTCTTTGGCGAGCAGATTTCTGTTAGTGGGAACTAGATTCATTATTACTGACAGTAGCCTTACACATAACAAAATTTAGTGATTTACCCTTCAATTTTAGTAGAGGGCTAATTAACAAGGTTTTCTTAAAATATGAACCATTTTCTTATATTTAATGCATATTCTCTACAAAAACATGTTATGTTTACTATATGTTATCAGTAGTTCACTATTTTCAGATTATTTACCTTCTAGAGATGGGACCATAAAGTAAATGCAGTCAATCCTCTATATCCACAGAGGATTGATTCTAGAAATCCTCTCAGATACCAAAATCCAAAGATGCTTGAGTCTCTCTATAAAACAATGTAGTATTTGCATATAACCAATGCATATACTCCTGTATACTCTAAATCATCTCTAGATAGCTTATAATATCTAATATGCAATGTAAATACTCTGTAAATAGTTGTTATGCCATATTATTTTGTGATCAATGATAAGAAAAATAGTCTGTACATGTTCAGTACAAACAGAACTTTTGATCTACAGCTGCTGGAACTCATGAATACAGACTTTACACAGCCGAGCATTTACCTTGCATTAGGTATTGTAAGTCATCTTGAGATGATTTAAAGTATACAGGAGATGTGTGTAGATTATCATACAAATATTATGCCATTTTATCTAGGGACATGAGTGTCCGTGGATTTTGGTATCCACTGAGGATTCTGGAACCAATTCCCTGTGGATAGCAAGGGATAACTATACTTAGAAAGGGGGAGTAAGCAAGGAGTTGTATTTTCAGTTAGATAGAAAAGTTTTTTATTCTTTTTTGAGGAAATTTAAAGAATTTTATCTACCTATTGATTAGGATTATGATCTTTACTAATAATACACTTCAGATTCCATTTTTAAAGGGACTGCATTCTATCAGGTATTATCTGACGATGTTTCCTTATTTTGTTTTTTTTTTAAAGGGCACAAATTATCTCATTTCTGAGGAAGAAAAATCTTTTGAGTATTGCTGTGCTATAAATGGTGCTAGTGAAGATAGTGCATGATACACTTTTTCCTGATGTTATTTCTGATTATACTGACAATTTCTCATTTACATAAAGCAGGATTGATAATGGCAACTGTGGAACATTTTAATGAGAATTGAACTGTAATTGCTTTAAGCTATAACTCTGTTCTTAAGTAACATTCTTTCCCCAATATTTAATTCTAAGAAGTATCTCTTTAGTTTATTCTTTTAAAAGTAGTCACTACCTTTGAAGGAATAACCTCTAAATGGCCTTACTTTGTGCTGTTTTCCTCAAATGTCCATTCTGCAACACTTCAGTTAATCATGTTAAAAGAATATATGTAAAAGAAAAAAATATAAATGTAGTGTTCTATGTTTCCAAATGAGAGCTCTTCCTCTCTTAAATTAAAAAAACAAAACCATGAACTAAAGACATATGTTTTATGGGACTAAAGTCTTGTGCTGTGAAACATGCCAGGACTCTGAAATCCTTCCTCTCCTTTTGGGCTCACGTTAAAGGTCCTGCTAGTCCTCTCCTGTAGCTCTCTACACTGTGCCAAGTTTCCCCCTGCTCAACCCCTTCCTTGTGTCTCCATTCTTGTCCTTAACACTGTTGCCCAAACACAGAATCCTATTGTGGAGCTCAAGTCCCATGGCCCCACAGGTCTCACACCTCTCATCTCATTCAGCCCATTTTTACAGTGTCAACCCTGTCCTTCTCAACCCAACTGTACTAGTGTGCCATGTACAGTTATTATATATTATTATATCTGATAACGCAGTACAGCTACCATGTCAGTCTTTCCCATCAAGTAGCACGTCTGCTGCAATACTTCTGTTCTTTAAAATGTCTCACTTGCTCCATTGTCCCTTCGAGTTATTGAGCCATGCTCTGATTCTCCTCTCATCTGAACTCATCAGAAGAGTTGTCTATATGAGAAATCACTACTGTCTCTACTCCTTTGTCTCTCAGCCATTCTTGTTGGGCTTCCACTAATGCATCACAAGGAAACCTGCATTGCCAAATCCAAAGAGCAAGTCCCTGTGTTCATCTTAGTAGACCTGCAAGCTCTATTTGGCAGAGCTAACCGTGTCCCCCTTCTGACAGTATATTTTCCAGTAGTCATGGGACACAGTGCTTTTTATCCTCTTTGCTTGCCTCTTCTTCTCAGTCTTTCTGTTCAATCCCTCCTT